ATCACTTAAGTCCAAGAGTTCAAGACCAGCCTGGGCAACATAGTGAGACCTTATCTCTAAAAATAAAAATAAAAATAAATTTTAAAACTTTACTGAGAGACATAAGAGTGTTGAATAATTGGAGAGGCATTATTATTCTAAAAAACCAAATATGCTATAAAGATTTTAGTATTTCCTAAACTTAGATATTTAACCGAATTTCAATCAGGGCTTAAGTTTTTGTCTGTTTCTTTGTCTATTTTTAATTGGTGGAGGTTATTCCCCCTCATAAGAATGATTCTGATGTTCATTTGGAAATAGACATGGTTGGAAATAGCCAAGATAGTTATAAAAAAGAATGTATACAGGAGAAGAGCTTCTTCAATGCACTACTGTAAAGTTACAGAGATAAAAACATGTATGTAGTAGACAGGCTGGTAATAACCTAGCATACATCAGAGTCCAAAACCTGGTAGAGATGGCAGCTCAGTCAACGAAGAAAGGAGGGATTATTTAGGGAACAATGCTGGGTTGGTTATTTGAAGAAGAATTAGTTGGCTTCTCACTTTACTTGTACCACACACAAAAATTTAAAAACCAGATAATTACATGTAAAGCAAAAGTTTAAGAGAAGAAAATGTGTGACCATCAGCGTCTGTAATGGGGAACAATTTTAAGGATAAAACTAACAAAAATATCACAAAAATAAAAATTGATGCTGGCTGTTTAGTAGAAACAGAAAACCTCTTCCACTTATCGAAAATATACCATAAATAGGCTGGGCACAGTGGCTCTCACCTGTAATCCCAGCACTTTGGGAGGCTGAGGTGGGCAGATCACCTGAGTTTGGGAGTTCGAGACCAGCCTAGCCAACGTGGTGAAACCCTGTCTCTACTAAAAATACAAAATTAGCCAGACTTGCTGGTGCATATCTGTAATCCCACATGTGGGAGGCTGAGGCACAAGAATCGCTTGAACCTGGGAGACGGAAGTTGCAGTGAGCAGAGATCACACCACTGCACTCCAGCCTGGATGACAGAGCGAGACTCTATCTCAAAAAATATATATATGCACACACGCCATAAATAAAAGACAAATGGCAAACTAAGATAAAGTAGTTACAAGTATAATAATGGCCCTAATACATAAATAATTTTTTAATAAATCAATAGGAAAAGCTCTTGAATTTCAACAGAAAAGGGTACAGAAGACATATCAAATACTAATAAAATTACCAATGGTAAAAACATGATTTTTTAACAACACCAGCCTCTTCAGTAATTCAATACATGTGATTTAAAGATAACAGAAAGATACCATTATCCGTCTACCAAATCGAGAATTACTTTTAATGTGTTTCTAATATTCATTACGTATGGGAATATACCAAGATAGGCACTGTCATATACTGTGCTGGGATTATAGATTGATAAAACCTTTCTGGAAAAGTGTTTCCACTTTTTCAAGTGTTCCTATTTCTAGGGCCTTAAAATACTTAACATACCTTTTAACCTAACAATTTGCCTTTAGCAAGTAATCATCTATATTTGTCAAGCATTTAAGTATAAAAATGTTCATTGTAGGTCAAGTACAGTAACTCATATTTGTAATCCCAGCACTTTGGGAGGTTGAGGCAGGAGGATCACTTGAGTCCTGGAGTTCAAGACCAAAGTAACATGACAAAACCCCATCTCTACAAAAAAAATAAAATATTTGCCAGGCATGGTGGCACACATCTGTAGTCCCAGCCACTCAGGAGGCTGAGGTGGGGGATTGCTTGAGCCCAGGAGTTTGAGGCTGCAGTGAGCTTTGATCGTACCACTGGGCAACAGAGTGAGATCCTGTCTCTACAAAGAATGAAAAGAGAAAATGTTTATTGCAGCAACATATGTAATACTAAAGACTTAGAAATAATTAAATATCTAACAGTAAGGAGTTAATATGGAATAGGAGAGTTAAACTGTGAAACCATTCATATGATTAAATATTATAGAGCTATTAAAAATCATATTGTCGGCCGGGCACAGTGATTCACTCCTGTAATTCCAGCACTTTGGGAGGCTGAGGCAGGCGGATCACAAGGTCAGGAGATCAAGACTATCCTGGCTAACATGGTGAAACACCATCTCTACTAAAAAAAAAAAAATACAAAAGGCCGGGCGCGGTGGCTCAAGCCTATAATCCCAGCACTTTGGGAGGCTGAGACAGGCGGATCACGAGGTCAGGAGATCGAGACCATCCTGGCTAACACCCGTGAAACCCCATTTCTACTAAAAAATACAAAAAAAAAACTAGCCGGGTGTGGTGGCGGGCGCCTGTAGTCCCAGCTACTCGGGAGGCTGAGGCAGGAGAAGGGTGTGAACCCAGGAGGCGGAGCTTGCAGTGAGCCGAGATCACACCACTGCACTCCAGCCTGGGCGACAAGTCATATTGTATAGGGATAAGAAAGGGTTTAAAATAATACCTGGATGAAAAACAGGATGCAAGGTATTACATAGCTCCATTTTGGCTGAGTGTGAGATGATTGTGAATTCTTTATTTTTTGCTATTTTCCCACATTTTCTATAATTATGTATTTTGCAGTTGGAAGCAAAAATAACCATTGAAAATTGTTTTCAAAGAATAATATTCAAGAGAATACAAGGTGCAGTGAGTTCTCAATATTTATTTAAAATATGTAATCCCAGCACTTTGGGAGGCCAAGACGGGCAGATCACGAGTTCAGGAGATCGAGACCATCCTGGCTAACCCGGTGAAACCCCGTCTCTACTAAAAAATACAAAAAACTAGCCAGGTGAGGTGGCGGGCGCCTGTAGTCCCAGCTACTCGGGAGGCTGAGGCAGGAGAATGGCGTGAGCCTGGGAGGCGGAGCTTGCAGTGAGCTGAGATCCGGCCACTGCACTCCGGCCTGGGCGACAGAGTGAGACTCCATCTCAAAAAAATAAAATAAAATAAAATAAAATAAAATAAAATAAAATAAAATAAAGAAATCTGTGGACCATTAACAGCAGTTATCTTTAGGTGATTTAATGTTGTTTTATAGATGGGTCTTTATTGATGGGATGTCACTATGTTGCCCAGGCTGGTCTTGAACTCCTGGCCTGAAGGAATCTTCCCACCTCTGCCTTCCAAGTAGCTGGGATTACAGGCACAAGCCATGGCAAATGTAGTATATTTTTATTTATTTTTTAGTGATGGGATCTCACTGTGTTGCCCAGGCTGGACTCCAACTCCTGGGCTCAAGTGATCCTCCAGCCTCAGCCTCCAGAGTAGCTGGGACTATAGGCACATACCACTCTGCCCAGCTTTATTTTTAAACTTTATTTCTATTTGTTTTGCAACTTTTGCTCTGTTAACAAATCTACTACTCTTATAAAAAGTTAAAAAAACATTCTTTTATTAAAACAAAGATTAGGCCAGGCATGGTGGCTCACGCCTGAAATCCCAGCACTTTGGGAGGCTGAGCTGAGTGGATCACCTGAGGTCAGGAGTTTGAGACCAACCTGGCCAACATGGTGAAACCCCGTCTCTACTAAAAATACAAAAATTAGCCAGGAGTGCTGGCACATGCCTGTAATCCCAGCTACTCAGAAGGCTGAGACAGGAGAATCACTTGAACTCGGGAGGCAGAGGTTGCAGTGAGCTGAGATTGCATCATTGCACTCCAGCCTGGGCGGCAGAGCGAGACTTCGTCTCAAAAAAAAAAAAAAAAAGATTATATCCTTATCAGAGATTTAATGGATACTAACCATATTTAATCATCAGTCTCATTATGCTGATTTAATTTTTATTATCCATATATTGTCATATTTAGGTTATGTTCATTTTTCACCAATTTTGTTAATCCCTAGTGTTTTCGTTTGTTTTTGAGATGGAGTCTCGCTCGCTCTGTTGCCCAGACTGGAGTGCAGTGGTGCAGTCTCAGGTCACTGCAACCTCTGCCTCCTGGGTTCAGGTGATTTTCCTGCCTCAGCCTCCAGAGTAGCTGGGATTACAGGCACCTGCCACCACACCCAGCTCATTTTTGTATTTTTAGTAGAGACAGGGTTTCACCATGTTGGCCAGGCTGGTCTTAAACTCCTGACCTCAGTTGATCCATCCTCCTCTGCCTCCCAAAGTACTGGGATTACAGGCAGGTGCCACCGCGCCTGGCCGTGTTTTTTGTTTATAAAAGAAAAAGAAAATTCCTAGAGTGCACTTTACTCCCTGATAGGAGACTAAATTATTTAAATATAAATTTTAGAAGGTACATGTTAAATTAACCTAATGAATTAGTAGCGTTCAGAAGTGTTTGTATCTGTTAAAGGTTCGAAATGTACAAACTACTTTCTTTTAATGGTGATTTTATTTTTAGTAAACTAAGAAATCATTATGCAGAAGAAACAGCACCCCCTTAACAAATATAAAAATGTTCTTTTTATAAACCGTCTCTGTTCTCCCTTTATTGTTAGGAAGGAGTAATCTGTTTTCATGTGATATAAGTACTTGTGAGTCATGTTGAGTTTCTTCACTCATTTGTCCAATTCCCAGGCAATCTGTAGGTGGAGTTAACCTTTAGTTACATAATATAACAAAACAAACATTAACCCTACTGCTTCTGGGACAGTCTTCTCACCAAAACTCAGGGAAAATGGGAGGGTGTTGCCACTGACTGGCTTAATGAAAGTATCTGACAAATGTAAGAGTTCTTTCAAATAGTGAAATAAGAAATGTATATCAAGTATTTGATGGACTACTTACTTTCTATCTATACACACACACACTATGTATCAGTGTATAATGTGTACTTTCGTTTTATAGCTATTAAATATGAGGTTCTAGAATGAGTTTTCAGTTTGCAGAATTCTGAGAATGTAGTGCCATCACCTTTGTGAGGACAACAACCACGATTGCACTCGCCATATTTATTAGTCAAAATGAAGCAAAGTCAATCTGTGGAAAGCTTCGTTTTGTTTTTGTGATTAGTTTGTTTAATAAGACATTCAAATTATGATCTTTAATATTGTTTCTTCCCTTAATAGCTTGGTGCTAACAGTGGTTTGCACATCATCATCTTTGATGAAATTGATGCCATCTGCAAGCAGAGAGGGAGCATGGCTGGTAGCACGGGAGTTCATGACACTGTTGTCAACCAGTTGCTGTCCAAAATTGATGGTGTGGAGCAGCTAAACAACATCCTAGTCATTGGTATGTTTACTTTCTTAAAAAGTATGGTTCATTCAAAAACATTAGCCGTAAGTTCTGAATTAAGATGTGTGTAGGTTGTGATTAAACTGTTTTGCCAGTGTTTCCAAATTAGAATCCAGTGATATTAAATAATCTTTTGTAATGCCTAGGCTTAATAGGAAAAATAAAAGATGCATTTCAGTCACTTGTAGGTTTAAGCTTATAGCCCACCTGCAGATGAAAAAGATGTAGGTTGAAGCTTATAGCTCACCCAAAAATGAAAAATACACATGAAACAGTGGAATGCAGTGGTTTTCAAACTGGGTCTTGCAGGCCTTCAGGGGTCCTCAGAGGTGCTTTCAGGGTCAGTGAGGGCCAGGGAGTGCATTTCAGATCCTACATCACGATTATGACTTCCTCTTTTAGCTGTTTTAAGTACTGAGGTGCTTCTGAAGATGACTTCTAGGGGGAAAAAAGAAAAACACCCTGCTGTTGTATGAAGTCTGAAAACCACTGGCCTATAAAAAAAAGAAGCAACTTTGGAGTCAGAGAGATCGTGTCACATTGCCCCTCTGTCACTTGGACAGATTATTTACCCTTTGAACCTTAAATTTTCTTTTTAAATACAGGAAGTTTTCATAACATTTATATTTCATTGGCTTATACAATAGTGAAATAGTAAAGCAAAGTCTCCTTAACTTGTTAGGGAAATTACTATTCTTATATATACTAAAAGGACATTTGATTTTATTTTTGAACTCTGATCATTTGTTGTTTTGTTTTAACATCCGTGTTCAGGAATGACCAACAGACCGGATCTGATAGATGAGGCTCTTCTTAGACCTGGAAGACTGGAAGTTAAAATGGAGATAGGTAAGGAGATCTGTCACTGATTGGTGAGTGGTAGGGGGAGTGGAGGCATTTCGAGTTCATTAACAGGATCAATGTCATGTGGCTTAGTACTTTTTAGAAAAGTTTTATATCATGAGAAGTAGATGTTTACATGCTTGAGTACCTATAAGGAAAATATTAGGATTATAACAATCTCCTCTAGGCTGGGCACAGTGGCTCACGCCTGTAATCCCAGCACTTTGGGAGGCTGAGGCAGGTGGATCACTTGAGGCCAGTAGTTCGAGACCAGCCTGGCCAACATGGTGAAACCCTGTCTCTACTAAAAATACAAAAAAATCAGCCGGGCATAGTGGTGTGCACCTGTAATCCCAGCTACTTGGAAGGCTGAGACGGGAGAATCGCTTGAATCCAGGAAGCGAAGGTTACAGTGAGCTGAGATCGTACCACTGCACTCCAGCCTGGGAAACAGAGCGAGACTGTGTCTCAAAATAATAATAAATAATAATAATAATCTCCTTTGATGGTGCTTTCGAGACTAGGAAAATGCCTATTTTATTTTTAATTTCATCAGGCTTGCCAGATGAGAAAGGCCGACTACAGATTCTTCATATCCACACAGCAAGAATGAGAGGGCATCAGTTACTCTCTGCTGATGTGGACATTAAAGAGCTTGCCATGGAGACCAAGAATTTCAGTGGTGCTGAATTGGAGGGTCTGGTGCGAGCAGCCCAGTCCACTGCTATGAATAGACACATAAAGGTGAGAAAAATCAGCTAAACAGATTATAAACATTATGCCAGAATTCTTTCTCTTTTCTTTCAAGCATATCAAGGAGTAGGGAAATACTGACTTTTGGTGGAGAAGAGATGGTAAAAGGAATAAGAATTAATTGTCAACTGCTAAATCTTCAGAGTAGCAGGAAGGAAGATAATGTTTGCATCTGCCCTATAGTAACTGCTGACTCATCTACCTTAGGTCATCACCATCTGACACAGACTTGTGAAGTGAAAATTTTGAAGGAGTGTTTTTAAATCTTTGTACTGTATTAAAAGTTGTGGCCAGGCGCGGTGGCTCAAGCCTGTAATCCCAGCACTTTGGGAGGCCGAGACAGGTGGATCACGAGGTTAGGAGATCGAGACCATCCTTGCTAACACGGTGAAACCCCCCCATCTCTACTAAAAAATACAAAAAACTAGCCGGGCGATGTCCCAGCTACTCGGGAGGCTGAGGCAGGAGAATGGCGTGAACCCGGGAGGCGGAGCTTGCAGTGAGCTGAGATCCGGCCACTGCACTCCAGCCTGGGCGACAAAGCAAGACTCTGTCTCAAAAAAAAAAAAAAAAAAAAAAAAGTGGTAATATGGCCGGGCGCGGTGGCTCATGCGTGTGTTCCCAGCACTTTAGGAGGCCGAGGCAGGCAGATCACAAGGTCAGGAGATTGAGACCATCCTGGCTAACACAGTGAAACCCCATCTCTACTAAAAATACAAAAAATTAGCTGAGCGTGCTGGCGGGTACCTATAGTCCCAGCTACTCGGGAGGCTGAGGCAAAAGAATTGCGTGAACCCAGGAGGCAGAGCTTGCAATGAGCCAAGATCATGCCACTGCATTCCATCCTGGGCAACAGAGCGAGACTCCATCTCAAAAAAAAAAGAAGTTGTAAGAGGAAGTGGGAGTTTCCACATACTAGAATGTGGGGGGCTGCTTTATTCAGCAAATATATGAATACTTGATGTGCTCACAGTATTGGGCTGAAGACATAAAGATAATAATTGAACTCTTCCCTCGAGTTCAGAGTCAGGAAAATGGACATATTTTCAAATTAGTACCATAATATTGTAATTACTATGGTAGAAATACGTACTAGGATACTTTTATTTTGATAAATAAAGTGCTCTTGATCTTCCATCTCTTCTCTCCTTCAGGTTTTAGTTACCACCTGTAGACAGATTTACTGAATATATCTGTCTCCTACTTTCAGATTTGCACTAAATACCCTCACCTAGATGTTTTATCAGGTTTCAGATTTAATATTCCAAAACCAAATTTCCTGTCTTTTTTACTACTTTCCTTTCTGCTCCCATTTCCCTGTTTATCCCAATTTCCCAGGCTTAAAACATCAGGATTACCTTTGATTCCTGACACTCTACTGTGCCCTACATCAAGTCACTTGCCAAATTTTTTCAGTTCTGTCTTGGCAGTGTCTTTAGTTCTCACTGCCACTACCTACCTTCTCTTTGATTAACCTTCTTGTTTCATATCATTCAACCATTCAGACATTTTCAGTGATTCCCCATCATTTACAAAACAAAGTACAGGCTTTTTTGGGTCTTTTGAGTCCTCTAGATCTGTCCCTAACTGGTCTTTTGGGTCCTCTACATCTGACCCTAACTGGCCTTTCCAAATGTGCTCCTGATTGTTCTCCAGATGCTTCAGCCAAACGTAAATAATCACCGGTCATCAGACATTAATTTATTTTTCAACCTCTCTGCTTTGATTTTGTTTTTTTGCATCACTGAGGATCTTCATCCTCTACATTTACCTGTCTTTTCATTACCTGGCTCATATGCTACCACTGTCCTCACACCTTTTCACATTTTCCCTTTCAAGAATGTTATACTCGTTTCCTTCTTGAAATCGTAATGTATCATTTATGGTACTGTCAGTTGACTTTGGTTCACGGTAGATTTATTTGGCATCTACTGCATTGCTAGCCCTGTTCTAGGAGTTAATACTCCAATTGCAAACAAGTAAAGTACCTACCATTAAGCCGCCCACAGTCTAACCCTCCACGTGCAGAAACAGAAAGTACATGCAAGGCCAGGAAGTGAACGCATGTCAGATATGGTCAACTTGTGGGGTGAGAAAAACCTTCATATGCATGTCTGTTGGTAGAACAGGGCCTTTTAGGTAGAGGGAACAACATATGCAAAGGAGCAGAGACACAGAATAACATAGTAATTGGAGTAATTTAGTATTGCTTCAGCATGGAAGTTAGGGGAGGGGTGGTCGAGAGAGATTGTGGGGGATAAGTCAGGAGACTAAAGCAGGGATGGAGCACAAAAAGCCTTTTATACTCTGCTAAGAAGTATGGACTTTTTTTCTGTGAGTAGTGCTAAGCCGTTGAGTTTTAAGAATAGCAGTGACATAGTGTTAAAACATAAGATCACTCTGGCAGCTGTGTCGAGTGGAGTAGTTAGAGGAGTGAAGTTGGCGACACAGGACAAGAGGGGGAACTTTATAACAGTTCAGGCAAGAAATAAAAGCCTGAACAGTTAGGCTGAGTATGTTGTAGATATTTGGGTATATCCTATCACTGGTTCTAGACCAGGAGTCCAGCCAGCTACCAGTTTTTATGAACAGAGGGCTTTTTTGGAACACAACCACACCCATTAATTGGTGTACTGTCTGTGGTTGCTTGCATGCTACAGTGGCAGAGTTGAGTATTTACAGCAGGGACTGCATGGCCCACAAAGCCTATTTTTGTGCTTTTATTTTAGGTACTATCTGCCACTTTACAGAAGTTTGCTGGCCCTCATTCTAGACTTTAAATCCCTATCTTATTCACCTCAGAGTCTCCCACAGTACCCCAAATAGGTCTAAGTAATGAGCACATGGTAGGTGTCCAGTAAATTTTTTTTCTTTTTTTGAAACAGAGTCTTGCTCTGTCCCCCAGGCTGGAGGGCAGTGGCACTGTCTTGGCTCACTGCAACCTCTGCCTGCTGGGTTCAAGCGATTCTTCTGCCTCAGCCTCCTGAGTAGCTGGGGCTACAGGCATGTGCCACCACGCCCAGCTAATTTTTTGTATCTTTAGTAGAGTTGGGGTTTCACCATGTTGGCCAAGCTGGTCTCGAACTCCTGACCTCGTGATCCGCCCGCCTCGGCCTCCCAAAATGCTGAGATTACAGGTGTGAGCCACCACGCCCAGCTAATATTTTTTAAATGAGTAAACTTTTATAAGTATTCTGGAATCAAACTCTATCCATAAGTCATAATTTCCCTATGTAATAGAAGTGGCTTTGTTCTAGCTCAAGAATGCCAAAGGTTTAGATGGTGTGGAAATATTGTATTGGGTCTTTATAGAATGTATCCATTCAGGGACTATGTTTTTATTCTTCTTGCTATACTCTTTTTTTTTGTTCGTTTGTTAGTTTGTTTTGAGACAGAGTCTCGCTCTTTCGCCCAGGCTGGAGTGCAGAAGCGCAATCTTGGCTCACTACAAGCTCTGCCTCCCAGGTTCAGCCATTCTCCTGCCTCAGCCTCCCGAGCAGCTGGGACTACAAGCACCTGCGACCACGCCTGGCTAATATTTTGTATTTTTAGTTGAGATGGGGTTTCACCGTGTTAGCCAGGATGGTCTCAATCTCCTGACCTCGTGATCCTTCCGCCTTGGCCTCCCAAAGTGCTGGGATTACAGGCATGAGCCACCATGCTGTACCGTTTTAATAAGAAGAGATGGTGACTTCAAGAAAAATGATGTAAACTGTGTGAAAATTGCTCCCTACCATACTGTTCTTTCATCTCAGACCACATGGGTGCATCCTGACATAATCCACAGTCACTAGTTTACTAGTTGTTGTATTTTTCACATGCGTTGGCCATGGAATTTTTCTCTTATTTAGTCATTTGTCATTTTAACTACAATAATCCCATCCCAAAATTTCACTTTAAGCCATTGTCTCAGTAAGAAACATGCTTTCTTCAAGCATATATTGGGTTTATCTACATATGAGGCAATGAGGAATGGTGGGAAGATCGCAGATACCGTAGTCAGAAGGTGTGGTTATGCATTACGTTTCTTTCACTTTTTTGTTTCTGACCTGTCAAGGGGAAATACTACCTATCTAATCAGATTTTTATGAGAATGAAAACAAATACTTTATATAAAAGTGCCTTGTAAACTCTGTACATGCTAGTTATCTCCATTTTTTATTATTAGCTGATTTGAGAGGATATCAGTACATCCTTTTTAATAGATGAATTTCTGATTTTTATTGACTCTTTGTAGTTACACTTTTTCTAATTGTAAAGCTAAAATGTTTGTCACCCTTGTACAGAATATATTATCCTTCTGATTTGCAAGTAACCAGTAGTGCAAATACTTCACATTGTTTTCATCACTTTTTTCCATGTGACAGAATTAGCTATAAGCTTCAGGTGATATATATTGACTTGTGACCATTACTCCTTGTACCAAACAGCTCCTAATTTTTCACCCTGTCAGTGGAATAACTATGTAGGCACTTTGGGGATGAGAAAGCTATGTAAGACACTAATCTTACCCCCAAAAAGAAGTATTACTGACGTTTCATTTTCTGCATTTTTAAAAATCTGCATTGTCAGAAGGTCTTTAAAGACTATTTTTCCAGTGACTTGTCCTTGGCTAAACAAAAGAAATAAAGTTTTAGTCTTCCATTGCTATAGATGTTTAGAGCTTTACTAATCGTGATTGATGAATAAATATTTAAATTGAAACATAATTTAAAGTTGTTACTGAACTTTAAAAACATTTAAAACGTACAAGTGTTACGATGTTCTTTCTTTGTATTTTAAAAAGTCATTATTAGTGTTATTTTGCTTCCTTTTCAGAAGATTGAGGCCTAAACAAAGATTTAGTCAGGTGGACTAAACAAGTCTTTCCTGTTAAACTGTTTTTTCAGGTTTTCTGAAACAAGTGGAAAATCTGGTCATAAACACCTGTTGTTCATGTCATTTGTACTTGAACCTATGATTGCGGTCAACTAAAATTCATGTGACATTTG